AATAGGATTGAAGTAAATAGGATGAAGTAAAGATTTTTAAAAGATGAGGATGTTAGCTTTACTATTAAAACCCTATGGTGCTGGAAAGTTTTCTCTGTAGAAACCTCTCTTGGCAAGAGTTACTGAGTTGGTGTCTAATACCAATACTGGCTTTTGTCAGAACACAAGTGGAATTACTGCTGCCTGTTAATAATGAAAGCAAACATTTCTCAGCTTATCAGCAGGTGCAAACTTTCCCCATGATTCTAACATGGGGGTTTGCAGCATTGGCTGCATGGTTCAGGAAGTCTAATTTTGAAAAGTATAGTCACACACACACACACACACACACACACACACACACACGGTCGTTTTGCAAAGGTGTTAACATAAAGCAATACACAGTGAAATGTCACTCATGATTCTGACTTTCCCCTCTTTATATACTGTTGATTCTCTGCAATCCTGGTTTAAAAAAAAGTAAAAGGATAGTGAAAAGGTTAAACTTCCTTATTTACCATAATTCTTTAGAGCTTTATCAGTTCATAAATCAAGAGACTTGCCCGAAAAAGTGGTTGTTAACACCTAACATTTATCACGAAGGAAAACAATTACAAACCACTGAAATTTGTTGCTATTTGGTGATTACTAAGCATGTGCATTAGAAATTCAAAATTCTTATGTGGAGTCTATGACTGCCTCCTACTTATCTTCATTTTATGTACAGTTTTTTTCAGGAAAATTATGAATTTAGTTTTATAAATGTGTTGATGGAGGAAATTGTTTAAAGATAACTGAAAGACTTTTGGAATCTGTTTTGTCCAATTTGGGGGCTTCACTGCCTTTTTTCTCTTATAAGAATAACTTTTAAGCTTTATAATACTCAAAGTGAGTGAGGATCCCATGTCTTATTGTAATGGAATAATTTCAATTTTTTTTTCAAAGTTATACCATGGATGCCTACTTTTTAAAAAGCAACAAGCTAGAAACCCAATCAAGATAGAAATAGCATATTCATAAGGTAGCAAAACCATGGTATCTTCTGAAAAGTCAATATGAAATATTTATTCTCAGAGAGCTTAAGTTTACAATGCGTATTCTGTCCAGAGTGGCTGAGGCTGGAAATTGATCGCAGTGGTGAGGTTAGCCTGCTGGGAGAACACAGAGCCTAGAGCAAGCCACCTGCCCAAGCTGCTGCAGTCCAGAGAACAAGCCCCAAGAAAATCCAAGCAATGGGTTGCTATGCAAAGGGTGTCAAGGGACAGCAACCTGCCAAATGTCTCAATAAATGTGCTAGGGAGGTTGAACAATTCCTTGCCACCCATCAGGAGAGAGGGCTCCTCCTGATCCCAGCTTTCGGTGCGCTGTCTTTATTTCTCCACCTTCTCCTGCCCTCCATGGTCCTGACCCTGGGAAGTTGGAGAGCAGCACAAGCAGCAGCAGTATTCCTAACTATTGTATTTAAAGTGGAGACAGATGAGTACCTAAAAATTGACATCAATGGCAAACAAAAGAGATCACAAACCTATGTTTAGAACTATGTCAAAATATAACCAAGGCTAATGAATATGAAATTTCAAGAAACTAAAAGCTGTGATAAAAAGGACAGACATTCTCACCCCCAAAATGAAGGTTTTCTGGTCATTAAGTATACTCTTAATTATTTTGTCTTGTCCTTACATTTCCACAACAATGCTGCCTTATTTTCTGAATGTTTACTAATCATAATGTGTCCCTAAATTTCTTCTGGAAGGTTCCACAGAGTTCTTTGCATGTTTATGAAGCCCCTAACCATTACCTGAAAGTTGTCAACCCCCAGGCACTCTTCCCTTGCTCAGGAATGCTGTGGGCTCTAGAGCACCAACAAACCCTAAATTGTCTACAGTCAATGCTGTAGCCTTTCTTCAGAACTCAAAGGCGAAGGGCAAGGAAAGAACCAAGGCATCGCTGCATGAGACACAAGAGTAAAGCTCACCACTAAACAACAATTATCTTAGTTCAGGGAATGCAGAGACTGCAAGAGACAGGTAGGGACAAGCTGGACGCACAGTGCCTGCAACCTGTGCTTCCCCGTGCCAGGGCCTCAGGATGGAAGTTCCACAGAGAGAAATGACTGGGGCCAAATAAATCAATAAATGAGAGTCAAAGCTTGACACTAAGCACAAGGAGAGTGAGGAGTGGAGAACGATTTGACTGACATTGCTGTGGAAGGTATCTAGCAGAAGCACGTAAAGATGCCCACTGGCAGCCCTTTATACGTCTAAGTCAGCCAATCTTTCACCCTCTCATGTCCTTATCCAAACCTTTGTCAACACCTCATACTATTTCTCTAGATAGTCAGTGCATGCAACCAGATGAGTATCTTTCTGTATCCATTTTCATGTTTTCATGGGTAGATACATAGATGATAAGTGAATAGAGAGAGACACAGAGAGTTGTATCATTTTTCAAGAGCTAAATATACCCAAATTGTACACCCACACTTCTTTCTTAGTAAGTTTTGGAAATCTCAAGGGGGCATAGATCTTATTCCATGATCCTCAGCAACTGCGTGATACTTTGTGTTATCAATAGACCACAATTCATCCAACCATTCTCTTAAAAATGGATATTCTTTTTGTTTATATTTCTGCTCATTTGCTGCAACAAATAACCCATTCCTGCAACCCATCCTTACTGAATGTCCTCTAGGTTCCTGTTCAACTTACAAACAGAGCAGCAAACAAAATAAAGCTTCTGCTTTCATGGAACAACCATTCTAGTGGAAAGGACAGGCAGTAATTTAGTATGTAACAATATTATCTTTTTATGAAGCTAAATGAAGGGACAGAAAGTTAGGGGTAATTTATATATCACTTTTCACGGGTAGCAGAGAAGGCCTCATTGAGAAGATGACGGATCAGGTGACCGGAGGGTGCAGGCCATGGGGAGAGTTAAATAAAGGAAGAGCAATCCAGTCAGAAAAAGTGGCAGGCACCAAGGTCTGCTTAGATTGATGGAGAACAGACGGGGATGCCATCGAGGCTGAGGCACGGGAGAGAGAGGCCGACAGTTCTGTCAGAAAAGTAGCTGGCCAGGGTCCAGATGGTGCAGGGTTAGAAAATGCCACAATAAACATTCACAGATCTTGGTGAATGCTACCGCAACTCACATGTCTACAAGCATTCAATGAACATAGGCTGTCTGTGAACACAGGCTCCAAAGTCTCTGCAGCCATTTGCCAGCTATTTGAATCTCTTTTTTAAAAAATCTGCTCATATCCTCAGGTTCATAAGCGTGATGATTGGGTGCTCATGTTCCACATAACATGTGCCTCCTTTGAGCCTTGTTATGACATCGGCACATTACCCATCTAACTTGAAAAAAAAATCTACTCATAACTTGAAAGTAAGAATCAGAAAACATTTCCATATAAAAACTATACAAATACAAATATTCTCGTTAGTTTATCATATCTATCAAACTCAGTGATCTGGATATAGGATCCACCGGGACATTTTTACACTGAGAAAATAAACTAGACTAAAATAAAACCTGAGCCTAAGAAAAAAAGAAACTGTGGTATAATCCGAGGCCCAGTGGCCTCTGGGATAATAGGTGTCAGGGTTAGAACTGGGGACTTAAAGCTGGCTGTGTCAATACAGGGCTTTTGGATAGGATACATGCTAAAAGGATCCAGTGTGTATCAGCATGAAATATAATTTTCTAGGTCGGACTAAACACAGCTGCCTCTTGGTTTACAATGGGATTACACCCCGATGACCCATACTAAATTGAAAATGCTGTGTATTCAAACTGCATTTAAAACTCCTAACCTACCAAACACTGTCACCCGACAACACAGCACCTGGTGGTCTCAGTGGCTTCCCCTTCTGACCCGTGGCTGACTGGGAGCTTCAGCCACTGCCACTGCCTGGAATTCATGAGGGCATCGTGCCACACACTGCTAGCTTGAGAAAAGATCAAAATTCGTACTTTGGAGCATGGTTTCTACTGAGTGCCTATCACTTCCACACAATGGTTAAAATTGTAAGTTGAACCGCTGCAAAAGTTGGGGGCTCCTGATGCCAAAGACTTCGACTTCTCAACTGAAAATGTAACAAAGCAACTTAAATCAATAAATATGTATGAAAGGAGTCGAAACCTAAGCAAATGGAGCTCACTTTAGTATTTTTTTGTCTCTCAACTTTGTTCAAAACTTATGGTTTCATGGTCTTAACTGAATGTCTTGCATTCTGTGCGGGTCGAGGGTGGGGGGATAAGAGAAGCCAGGGAAAGCCCAATGGCCTGGGGTCAGTGTGAAGGTAAAGCTTTGAAGGAGAGCCACAAATATCTATTTAAGTCCCACTGCCTTCGCATGAAAAAAGCTTCAGGAAGTCTTAAGAATCTAATATTTATAACATAGGAAAAAGCTACTTTACATCGAAAATTGAGGTATTTTTAGATGATCATGAAACACTCACTTAAAATAGCCATATACTCTGCATTTGACAAAAAGGAGGCCACGAAAAATCTTAGACTGATAGTGGTCCCATCTCAACTGTAAAACTTCTGATGGGAAGAAAAACATCCAGGAGACAGCAGCTATCATAATAAAGCCTCTGTCTCATGAGGATCACTACATTTTAATTTGTATCTTAGGTTTAAAGATAGACTTATAAAATGAAACAAAAAGAAATAAGAAAAAAGCCTTCTAAACGCCAAGCACTCTATAAAGTTTTAGTTGTACATTCTAGCCATCATTTGACTCTTTAAAATTCTGATAACCTTCCCTCAAAAAATAAAGTATTTCCTCTGGTCTAGACAACACAATCTGCTTCCATCTCGGACGGGGCACTTGGGAACCCAGAACCTGCCTGGTTTCACTCACACACATGTGATCCCAGGTGAGCCAGGGCTGTGTGTCCCTTCCCACCCGTCCCCACCCAGGCAGGATCCCTGCGAGGCGGTGCTGCCCACGGTGAGCTAACGTCTTCACCACATTCTGCTTGAAAATACATTTGTTCCTGTTTTTCACTTACCTTGTGAAGTCTCATCTCCCTGACATTGGCAGTGGCTTTGGGTGTTGGCTAAAGAGAAAGCAGCAGGCAGCGGCAAGGGACGCGGTTTCCTGTGGAGCAGGCAGCTTCACACAGCTCAGTCCAGGTCAACCTCCAAATACTAAAACCGAGAAGTCAACAACAGGTTAATGTCAGGCTGCTGAACGCTTTCCACTATGCGCGCTCAGAGTAGTGAATCATTTTCACTGTTGAATGTTCTCTCACAGTTCTGCTTTTTGACACAATATGTTTCCAACTTAACAAAATCTTTTGTAACAGATATAGTTTCCAAAAAAGGAAGTCCTCTTCCTTTAAAACATATTCAGGAGCCGTTGTTTGGCACCCCTGCTAACAACAGAAAGATGTTTTACGGAAAGGAGGGCTATAAAGATAAATGCTTCTTGACGTGGGGCCTTCAAGTACCCAGCGGTCTTGTAGTATAGCTCATCTGGACCAGACCCACAAAGAAAGTGGACCAAGAAAAGTGTACACATTGTTTGGGTCTGGCCTGTGCTTGTGAATTAAATAAAGAAGAAAGAGTTTGTCACTCAGCAAACTCAGTGTTATGGGTTATGCTAGGTGTCCCCACGAAGCTCATGCAGTCATAGGTGGGGCTTTTCAGAGATGCCTGCATCTAGAACGTGTGACCTAGAACAGAGTACGTGTGTGATGCTGGGATCAAGGGTGTGTGATTGCTAAGCTGGGCCACTGATTCTTTGGCAATGTGTGGACAATGGGAAGGCCCTGGATAGAATATAAGGGACAGAAAGTGTTGTGTGGTCGCTTCCTGCTTTGCTAGTTCACTGCTTGCCATGAGCTCTTGGTCCTCTGCCGGGTCATCTTGCCTGGGAGCCGGTCAACTGCGAACTGAAGCCTCCATAAACTGTGAGCACAGTAAACCCTCCCTCCTTTTTCTCAGCAAACCATAGAAACAGAAAAAAGTACATGCTTTCATTAATTAATATATTTGTATAAAAGTAAGAAATAAGTCACCTTAAAATTTTAATTTAATCTAATAACAATTTTGATTTAATAAATATGGTTTGTTTTTCTTGCATTTTAAAACTGTGAAACTCATTTTTACTAAAGTCCTATATCCAGCATTGCCAGCAATCTTATTTCTTATATTTATAAGAACCTTATTTCATTTCATATATACATATATATATTTATATTTATATTTGCATACAAGTTCTGGAATACTGAATTACAAGTGAATACTTGAAACACAATCTGTTTATACACTAGAGACTGTTTGTAGCTACATATTTTTCAGGGATATCAATGTTCTTGAATTCATTTGCCTAAACATAATATGGTTATATATCTCACTGTATCTACAATATTATTATTGTTGGTCCAGTAAAAAGAAACAAAACTAAATTAACATCTGTTTTCAGTGTATTTGAAAGATTTCTTTTTATTTCCTTAGGAAAAATATCAGCCACCTAGCAATACTAATACATCATAATGCTCAGTACAAATTTCACTTCTACACATGAAAAAATTAAACTTCAAAGTGTTTTCATAGTTTAAGCTTTAGTTTTTATATTCATTTTAAATGGAAGTAAAATTTGCTCACTTATTTCTGTACAATTTAAATTTATTACCGCAACTGAAAACAAATAGTACTTTGGTTTTTCTTTTCAATAATTCTGTATCTTTCTCTTACCTACAACTGTAGTTTACATAAAAAGTTGTGTTCATCCAACACACATCTTTGTATACAGAGTACAACAAGAAAGCTTTTATTTTAATGGAATAAACTTAGTAAGTACCAATTACATGTAAAAACATGAACCTTTCCATCTTAAAGTCAATTAAGTTTGAAATAGAAATGTGTGCTCCTTTCTGTCAACCTATATGACTTGCTAGAGTATATCAGATATCTTTGTCCATATTATTCAATCTCAAGAAAAACATGGGGGTTGGGGATTTAGCTCAGCAGCATAAGCGCCTGCCTTGCAAGCAGGCAGTTGTGAGTTCGATCCCCGGTACTGATAAAAAAGAAAAGGAAAAGAGAAAGAAAAAGAAAAAAATGTACTCATTTGGAGCAAAATAGCAAAAAATACTACATGAATTGAACACAGGGAAAAATATCAAGAAACAGATTAATATATTATTGACACAGTATAGAACAAAAGAGATTATTCAGAGTGAGATAAATATAGATTCAAAGCCCAGTTTGGCATCTTAACTGGGTGATTTTTTTAAGACATGGCTAATTAGCCTCTCAGCCACAATATCTTCACAGTAAAACAATGCCTGCCTCTGAAACTGAGGCTCAGCCAGTCCACAGAGTTATAGTCATACTGGTTAGGAAATAGTGAAGCACTTTCATAGATGGGTAAAAGAACCATTGCCAGGAGGTTCACAATTCTCACATCCCATTCCACACCTGTAACTCCAGATCTCACCAAATTCAGGAACCAAAGCACTGATACTCATCAACTAGGGGGAGACTTCTAGAAGTCTAGAAGTATGGCCATGCTGATTGGTCAGTGCCAAGTGGATGTTAGATACTTTTTATATCCCCCATACCTATACTATAAAAGATGGTTTGGGATTTAGTGAGATAGCAACACCTTCCATTTAGTAAGCATCTGTGTTGAGTAACATAGACTATCTTACCTGTGCCCTGTCTTACCACGCTGGTTGGGTCCACTGTGACTTATCAGGAAAATCCCTCATTTGGAAGCTTCCCTTCCCTCATGGGAGCTCCCCTCCCCCCATTATTTCCTCCTTCCTTAGACTGCTGGCAATGCTGAGTAAATGTCCTTAGTAAAAATGTATTTCACAATCTTAAAATGCAAGAAAAACAAACCATATAAATGAAATCAAAATTGTTATTAGACTGAACTTGAATTTTAAGATGACTTATTTCTTACTTTTGTGTCAATCTATTTGACTAATGAAAGTGTGCATTTTTTCTGTTTCCATGGTTTGTGGACAAAAACAATCATGTGTTAGACATATAAAATTACAAAGAAAAAAAGATTTGTGATTCAGCATAACTGTAAAGCATTAACCTAAATTATCATGATGTCTTTGTTTCAGGCAAAGAAAGAGTAGGAAAAAAGAATAAAATAAATTCCCTTTCTCCAAGTGAATGATCCCCCAAAATGGCTAATTTAGAAGTACAGAAATCTACAACAACATAAATATTTGACTTTGAAAAGATCAAGTGTGCAATTAAACAAATGTATGCATTGCAAAGATGTCCGCTTCTGCCCCAGGTTTGCTGCTCCTCCCTCTCAGGGTGGAATGATAATATAAGTGCACATCCATATGTATTTCTGCTCATCCCTGCCCTGTATGCACAGGATTACAAACATTATTCCTTCTGGCCTAATAGGGCACAATTAGTGTAGAATATTAGGTGAGGCAGAGAGGAGTAGCCGACCAATCAGATTTCCTATAGAAACAGTAGGTGTTGCTGCTTCTGGCCATTTCTGCCTGTACTGTTAGGAATTAAATCACAGCATTAGCTGGGCTCTGTTTGGCTAGGAAACCCAGGAGGTCATCAGTTTATGTCCCCACCCTCCAGACAAGTGGCAGGTGGAGCAGCGCTAGCCACTGCTAGTGCCATGAGCTGGAGGCTCTGGCCAATAGATGAGAATTTACAGGGCTTTGTTTTTTTTAATTCATCAGGCCATATGCTGCCAGGCTCTCATGCAAATAGACAAAATTACAAATAATAAAAAAGAACCAACTGTTTTAGCATTTGGCTGTTTTCTGTCATCATTGCCATCTATGTGAGAGGCCAGTTAATGAAAGAGGGGTCTTGGACTCCCAGTGACATCAACCTAAAGGGAAGATACTTCAGAATCCAAGCTTCATTCAAGCCATGTTAAACCTCTGCCCTAGGGTGCCTTGGTGCCAAGTGTCTATTTGGCTGCAAAGCAGGGAAGCCTGGCCATCCAGCTGGCCTGGAGCTGGGCAAACGTCTCCAATGCTTCCTGCAGCTGAGGCCCATTGTCCAGTGATAGGAGAAGAGAGAAAAAGGTTAAGTTCCACTTAGGTTGGGTTAAGTTGGGGCACACGGGTGTATCAGATTCAGACATACTTTGAATAAGCAGCTTTAAAAATAGAAAAGATTAGCAAATGCATTTTCAATTTTAAAATAACAAGATAATTAGCATTTGTAAGCTGTTTGAAAACCTCCAACTCCTTAATATCAAAGACTGCAAGAAAATCTCTCCAAGTAGATTTTACATGCTTCCAAAAACGCTTGCATTTAAAATTAAAATGTTGCTAAACTTTTGTATAATTTCTGCTATTGCTCTATTCATAACGATTATCAATTCTCCAGTCTGTACGAATGTAGAGTTTTGCACTTGATAGAATTCACACATTTTTTCCCTCATTTTAAGACAGTAAACCTCCAACCAGAAACTGAGGTAGACAGACTCTGCATTCATATCAATATGCATATATTTAAAATAATTCTGTTTTAGAAATATCATGCTCATGTTCACTTGCACCTCTACCAGGCTACTTTGAAACCATAATTTGCACATCTTTAAAGACAACTCAAAATGAGTATGACTATACTCAGTTAACGATAGTCAAAGTATCACAGTGCATGATACTGGGAGTTCATGATGGGCCTTCTTGCAAGTGTGCCCATGAAGAGTGATTTACCCAGAGGAACCAAGATCTAACACATGTCTTGCTGACAACAAAAGTAAATTTTTTTCTCATTTTCCCAACAGTGTTACCCAAATCTGTGCCCTTAGCTTCTCACTGGATTTGCTTTTACCATTTGCTCTTTGTGAGCTGACATAAAATTGCTAAACACAGCTGGGCTTAACCACTGTCAACCAGGGTTCTCAGATCTGGTGGAAGGCAAAATGTAATGGGAAGCTGTAAAGATTCAATTCTAATAAACAATCATAGATACATTCCACTAAAATAACAACTTTTCTACAAAGAAGCATTATCATTTCATAAAGAAAATTAATGTTATTAGAAAAACTTGTTCATGGTAAAGGAAAATAAAAGGATGATGAAAAATAATGTCTTCTTGTATTTTTCAAGACTGTTATTAGAAACTCCTATGACAGAGAAAATAAGAGCTATTGTCAGTGTTTGTCTTCATGTACTTCAAATTAATTTGAACTTTTTTCAATTTTAAAAATTATAAGAAAATTAGCATTTGTAGGCTGTTTGAAAATTTCCAACTCTTTAATATCAGAAACAGTAAAAAAATGTCTCTGAGCAGATTCTAACCTCTTCCCGAAATGCTGCACTTAAAATTACAATGTTCCTAAAATTTTGTAAAATTTCTGCTATTGGTATATTCAAAATTATCATCAACTTTTCAGTCTGTATTAATGGAAAGGGCTTACCTCACTAGGAGACCAAATTCACTGGTGCTGCCCATCATGTAATGTCTTACAGGGAAATATCTACCTTTCTAATACATTTAATAAAACTAAGAAAGCAGCATCTGAATCAACCTTCACCACAATATATGTTGAAGCACACAGTAATTCAATCTGTCCACAAAGAATAAAAGACGAGATTTTCAGGCACCTTCCTGTTCTGAGAAACCACATAAATCAGACGTGAAAAGATAGGTGATACTCCACTATCGCAGTAGGAAATTTCCAGATATATTACTTTGTATAATATTAAAATTTACACTCTACATTTAAGATGCTGGGCGTGGTGGCACACACCTGTAATCCCAGCACTGGGGAGGCTGAGGCAGGAGGATGGCTGCCAGTTTGAGGCCAGTCTGGGCTACACAGTTTAAGACCAGACTGAACTATACAGCTAGATCCCATCCCCCCACCCCAAAAATTTTAAATGATACTCTTCTGTCATAAGAAAGTACATTCCAAAACAGGCAAGTTTATTTATATGATATAAAAATATACCTGTGTGTTACTATGTGTTCAAGTATAAAAATCATAATTTTTAGGAATAACATAGCTAAAAATACTGAAGCCCAGCATTACAAAGACCGAGCATATAACTTACTGACAAAAGCCCTGCTCTTAATTAGATGAAGTATTAAAGTCATAAATAAATAAAATATAAATTTGTTCTCATACATGAGTTGCAAAATATGTAATCATTTCTTTTTTAGCATTAAAATTATTTTAATTTAAATGTATTCTAAACTGATATATACAAAACAAAATGTTACCTATTAATAGGATGATGATATTTTGATATTACCTATTTGATATTTTGATATTACCTATTAATAATATTTGATATTTTGATATTACCTATTAATATTTTGATATTACCTATTAATAGGATGATGATATTTTGATACATTGTGTAATGTTTAAATTAATTTAAACATATTTATCTTCTCAAGCATAATCGTTTCTTCATGGCAGAAGCTCTTCAAATGCCTTCTATCTTTATCAGGTGTATAGTGTGTAATTATCTATCGTCATTCTCCCATGCAACAACAGTATTCTTGTTTCTGTCTCACTTAGTACAGCTGCCACCCTTCCCGCTCCTTCCCTTCTTTCTACTCTACCTGGCCTCTGATAAACAGCATTCTGCACTCAACTGTTATGAAACCAGCTTTTTTAGATGGCAAACGTCTTTTCGCACTGTACCTGGCTCAC